TAATAATGTTGTAAATCCCGAAAATATGGCGTTAAACCATATACAACAAATTCTGATAAATAATGGAAGTAGTTGTGAGAAATTTCAATTACCAAATCCAACTGAAATAAATATTTACGAAACAGAGTATAATGTAGATGAAGAAAAAATACGTGGTGATTATTTATTATCTACACTAAATGATGAACAAAAATACGTGTATGATATAGTAATGCGAGCAATTAAAAATGAAAATGAACTTAAGCGTTTGTTTTTTATTGACGGGTTTGCAGGAAGTGGTAAAACCTATTTATTTAACACATTTCTAAGTGTTATTCGAGGAAGAAATGAAATAGTTCTTCCATGTGCTTCAACTGGAATTGCAGCCACACTTCTGAAAGGAGGAAGAACTTATCATTCTCTGTTTAAGCTTACAATTCCAATTGATGATGCAGCTAAATCAAATATTAGAGGAAATTCTCAAGCTGCACGAGAATTGATCAATGCAAAATTAATCATATGGGATGAAGTGAGCATGACTGTTGGACATGCCTTAACAGCAGTTGATAAACTTTTAAAGGATTTAATGAAGAATGATCAACCATTTGGAGGAAAAGTAATTTTATTTGCAGAGATTTCAGACAAAATCTTCCAGTAGTACCTCATTTACACAAAACAGCGATAATTGAATCGACTGTAAAATACAACCCTATATGGAGGAATGTAATTAAGGTTAAATTACAGCAAAATATGAGAACTGCGGAAGAAAAAGAATTTGCAAATTGGTTAATGCAACTCGGAGATGGTAAATTATCAAATACAGATGGACTAAATCTAGACACGATTGAAATTCCACATGATTTTATATCAAAAGAATCTCTTATTAATGAGATTTTTGGTGATAGAATTACCATGAAAGGATTAGAGAAAATCAAGATCGAACGATTCTTTGTCCTAAAAATGAGGATACTTTCAAAATTAATGATGAAATTCTTTGTCTAATGGAAGGAGAAGAAAAGGAGTATCTCTCTATTGACTGTATTGTAAGTGATGATCCACAGGAGCAATTAAATTTTCCAACTGAGTTTCTAAATTCACTGACACCTTCTGGAATGCCAGTTCATCGGCTTAAAATAAAAGTTGGTGCTACAGTAATCTTATTAAGAAATTTAAATACTAAAAAAGGACTTTGTAATGGTACAAGATTTATTATAACTAATTTGAAAAATAATATAATTTATGTAGAAGTTATAACAGGTCCTGCTCGAGGACAAATTGTTATGATTCTGAGGATAGATTTAATTACAAATGATTTGGAACTGCCATTTAAGTTTAAACGAAGACAGTTTCCTATTCGAGTGTCATTTGCTATGACAATAAATAAATCACAAGGACAAAGTTTAGAAAAATTGGAATTTATTTGCCACATCCTGTATTTGCTCATGGTCAACTTTATGTGGCATTTTCTAGAGCAACAAAAAGAGAAAGTGTAAAAATTAAAATTGATGAATGTAGCAATCAAGGACATTTAATTGAAAAAAGTGAAAAATGTTTTACAAAAAATGTAATATACAGGGAAATTTTGTAAATTGAAGAATTATGACATTGTATGAGAGCTAATAATAGCGGGTTAGCGGTGGGTACATTAGAAATAAAAAAAATTGAGTAAAATGTAAAAAAGGATATAATAATTAAGTAATGAAAAAAATATTTAAAGTATATATTAACTAAAATAATGTTTTATATTTAAAAAATATGAAATTGTGTGGAAATTAAAATAAACAAGAAAATAAAAATAAAATATATAATAAATATTTAAATTATGCAAAACGCGGTGTAAAATAAAATATCTGGGAGAAAGAAATAGATAACATAGTAATCATCCAAAAAAATTTATTTATTTTGATATAAATTTCGTGAAAGTCGGACAACAAATGTGGAATAGTTCGCGGTAATACAAAAAAAGAATTATTTTTTGTGTTAAAATGGATTTAATATAGGCTATATGAGGACCGCGCGAAAACGCGGTCCGAATAAGCTAGATATATATATATGCACGCACATGTATATATCAATTTAATTTTTTTTTTTCAATAACGTCACTCAAATATTATTAATAAGCAAAATAAACAACAAGAAGAAATAATTTCTGTCATAAAATTGTAATTTTGTGTTATTATAATGTGTAATATTACACTTTATAGATACATCGTGTTGTATCTGCGCAAAATAAGCAAAGTTCTAATATTAGCGTCATTAAATAGTCATAAGTCAAGCATCAGAGAACCACTATTTTAATTTTTTATTTTTATTCCTTCTTTTAAGTGACAATATTATCAATGAATGAAAAACTTGCAAATATTGACTAACAATCCCATTTCCATATTATTTTTCGTAAATACGCATTATCGTATTATGCGATTTTAATTATGATTGATCTACGCAGACAGATACATGTGACATATTCGTTAAATATTTAATTTTTATTAGTTCGTACATATATTTTTATAATTTTTCCTTTGATTTTTTTTATCTTGCATAACTGTCTAAAGTTTGTTATCCAACTAACCATTAATAAGTAAAGTATGTAATTTTAAATTTTAATAACAAAGAACCCAGGACTTCATTTTCAGGTCATTTTTTGAACCCTTGACCATCGTGCTATGCGGGATCTATATGACCTGACATTTTTTTGTGTATTTGAGCGGTTCTTTGTCAGACGGTTAACAATGCATTTTTGTTTCCGGATACATATACAGGGTGTCCGGTAACTAACGGACCAACGATTACAAATGGATTCTTTGGTCAATTTGGGAACGATTTTTCCTCAGCGAAAATGTCGAAAAAGGTCATCATTTTTTACAACTTTCCAATATTTGTCATTATGTATCTTTATAACTAAGCCTCAAATTAAAACTTTATTATAGTAAACTCTACCTGAAATTAACTGAAGAATGTAATTATGTTAGACTTTTAACTCCAAAACGTTTAGTTTTTAAAAACCCATTTTTTTCAATCGCTTATAACTCGAAAATTATTGACTTCTCAATGTTTTTGCTAAGGAAAAATCGTCTCCAAATTGACCAGAGAATCCGCCCTTAATCATTGGTCCGTTAGTTACCGGACACCCTGTATATAAATGTATATATATGTTTATTTCGATAACATATTATTCAAGTAAATAAATCAAAAGAAACCATTACTGTCACAATAATCATGTATTATTTAACAAAAGGTAGAAATGCATTAAATAAATGTTTTTTATATGTTTAGAAAAAGTAATGTTTCAAAAAGTTGGACATTGAGGTATTAAATCGTTGGTGCGTGCGTGATTTACACTCTAACACGTCACTTTTTTCTGTTGTTAATAGTAAAAAAACATAATTTGTCATAATTCAAAATTTGAATTATTTTATATCTAGTTTCATTTATTTGTGTGATTATTTGATTAAATAAAAAATATTATAAGAAGAAAATAAATAAAAATTCTTAAAATTCTGGCGTTTCTTTAATTATTTTTCAGCAATTAAATGCTTTATTTAATAACGATATGCAGTATGTCTGAAATTTGTATCATAGACGATCGAAATACGCGTAACTATAATATTTAAATTATATTTATACATATTGCACTTTCTTAAGATATTATAAATTTGCAAAAAAATTCATTGTCAAATTCAGATATTTTTTAAATAAAATATTTTTGTATAAATATCTCGTATATAAAATGCCTTTCAAAAGTTATTACTAATTGAAACAGTCATTATCACAAACTGATTCCCATTGAAATTCCATTATTTTTATAATATATCGACAATATGTTCAATATAACTTTCAAGCAATATACTAATTCCATTTAAATATGGAGCAATTATAGTATTAAATGTACTTTTGCTCAAACAATGCGTTGTACAACTGAACAAAAATTTATATTTATTTCAACAAAAGTTAATTTTGACTGACAAAAAATAAGAGAGAAAAAATGAAGAAAGAAATTATTTAATTTATTATATTATACACATATACATATATTTGCAATTACACGGTATCATTATAACATCACATGATTATTTTGATAAAAATGACTTCTGCTTTATTGGCTTGAATAATATTATCAAGAGAAATGAATAATTTATCGCATTCACACGCGTTGTATTTCATTCTGTTATATTATATTACTATAAAAAAAATATATAATATATTAAAATATATATACATTTCCATAGAAAAAGTGTATTTATTTAATATACGTGCATCCATTATTATAGCAAGTTTTTACATATAGTTCATGTAAAAAATACGTTTGCTACGCATTTATTGCTAATTTTACGCATCTCTGTAAGCTATGTCCAACGACTGCGTGAAATCTAAACGTGACAGTTCAGGTAACCGAACTATTCGGAAACAAAAATATGTTATTGACCGGCCGACCAAAAAGCTTATGTATACGAAAAAAAGATCTCAGATCGTAGGTCCTGAATAGCACACAGTGGTCAAGAGTCCAGCTGTGAGATCCTGAGTTTCCTTCGTCCGACATTCGCCACGCTTATACAACTATGTTACAATTTATGTTTGATTTAGTTTAGCAGTGGAGGCAATTCCCCAAAAATTAAGCGTCTAATTATTGTATAATTACCGACAAGCTACCTGTTGTATGTAACCATATTATTTTTGAAAAAGCGTTCTTATCTAGGACAGCTAACATATTTTTGCGTGTGTGAAAGCAGAGATAATGAAGAGAGGCGTTCAAAGGCGAGATGTCCAACGACTGCGTGAAATCTAAAAGTGACAGTTCAGGTAACCGAACTATTCGGAAACAAAAATATGTTATTGACCGGCAGACCAAGAAGCTTAAGTACACGAAAAAAACATTTCAGATCGTAGGTCCAGCATAGCACCGTGGTCAAGGGTCCAGCATCCCGAAAATGGAGATCCCAAGTTCGAGTCCCGAGTCAGCCGCCTTCGTCCGACGTTCGCCACGCATACGACTATGTTACAATTTATGTTTGACTTAGTTTAGCCGTGGGGTACGTCGAAGCACGAGCACCCCACACTACCAAAAATTATGCGCCTAAGCTATATTGTAACATACGATGTATAGCTTACAGTCAAGCTGCGCATAGTCCTAATGACTGGGGGAACCGCCTTTCTGATCACGGTAATCCCCGACGCTATGAAGAGTACAATACCATATTTTTGAAATAGCGTTCTTATATAGACAGCTGGTGTTATTTCGTTTACGGAAATCACTTCTCGGTCCTCGCCATCTGTTGGGGAAAAATAGATATAAAAATCCAAACACGCACACGTACATACACAAACACAGGTTTATATATACACACATATAAATATACAAATACATGTCTCTCTGAATTATATTTTTGTTTCCACAAGAGACGGCGATAAGCATGAAGTGATTTCTCGTAAGCAAAAATAAATCAGCTGTTCGATAAACCTATTTCAAAAATATGTTCGTATTCGACTTAGAAACACGTATCGAGGAACCGTGATTCGCTCGTGTGACTGCTTGTCTGTAACTATGTAACATAGTTAAACACAATTTTTTGACAATGCTGAGGAGTCTTGCGCAACAGAAACTCCTTACAGAAATTAAAACAAACATAAATTGTAATTTGTAACATTGTAACACTGAAAATAATTTACAGACGTGTAAAATCAGCAACATGCGTTATGGAACATATTCATCATATGAAATGAAACTACATATAAGACTTGAGATGCACTTCTGTTGCATAAATCGAAAAGATTCGAAAATACGCAAAATATTGCTTTACCGAATTATAATCCATAACGGATAAAAATTTATTTTATTTTTCATAATTATATTTCTTATCAGAACAGATTTGTCTGACTTTGTTAAACGAGTTTATATACTTCATATTATTAATAATGAAAGTAATAAGTATAAGGTAAGTAAAAATCCGGTATATTTATGGGAGTAAAATTTTGCATACGAGATGCATACGTATAATTATATATACAAGTATAAACAAATTGTCATTGAAATAAATAAAAAAGCCCATCATTAATCTGCAATAATGTTGTCTTGCGATGCACTTAATCTTCCTTTGATCGAACGGAAATTAGATTAGCCACTGATTGCTGCTTAAAGGCGCGCCAATAATAAAGGCGCTCTGAAAGCACGCATTACTTTGGATGCCGTCCGACACATTAATTTCTCTCGATTAGCTTTTGAGTAGCACGACACGGCAATGGCGTGAATGTACATGCAAAATAAAAACCTCGACATTAAATAGTCGGTCGGCACTCGGCATATGCGGTTCTGATATATTTATCGTTTACTTCGATCACAAAACGCGGTGAAATCTGTTTTTTTTTTTTTTCCGTCTTGAAAGTCCCCGACGATAATAAATTGCATGCTATCAGGAACGTACACGTGGTGCACCGGAAATTCTTTTTATTCGCCGTGACTATATATATATATATATATATATATATATATATATATTATATAAGATTATATATTATATATTTTATTTATTATTTATAATGTAATATATGTATTATATATTATTTTACTTGCTAAATATATGGAGAATATTTTTTGTGAACCTCAAATCATTCAATTTATACTTTTCTATTTTAAAAATCCGTTTTTATAAGAAGATAGAACAAAGGGACGAATTAAGAATGGGATTAAACAAACAAGTTGAAGGAAGATAATTAGTCGGCGAGATAATTTACAAAAAAAAAAATTTTTTTGCGCATCTCCGATATTTCCGTAATCTAATTAAGTATCATTTGAAACAAGAAGAGGAAGAGAGAGATATGAAATCATAATAGCTTTAACTTCTGGCGCAATTACACTTATGTGAGTTTTGAGCGCTTTAAGAGACGAAATTGTATGTTTTTAGCTGCGTATTTCGACATTTAGGAGATAAACTACCTCCTTAAAAAAATCAGTTTTTTTTTTATTTCTAAGCTAATACCAACGGTAAAAGATATAAAAAGTGTTTCAAATAAAAGTTATATGGTTTGAAATGTTTATGGTTTTTATTCGTTACAAACATGATGATTGTGAAAGAAATGTTTTATACAAAGAGATTTTTCTTGTTGATTTTCCTTGATTGGCTCTACTTTTTTTACTTGAAACATATTTTCTTATTTTTAATTTACATAAATGTAAATTACTTATTGTTACACAATTGTTACACTATTGTTCTACAATATTTAAATATATAAAAGATAAAGATTTTAATGTCTAAATTTTAATTACTTTTTATATTTAAATTTTTATATTTATAAATATATAAATTGTTATAAATTTAATTATCAAATATATATATACATATATATTTATTTATATAATTATAAATTATCAAATATAATATACATACATAGATTGTAATATATAAATTTTTATCGATAATTCATTCTTCTTGGCAGATATCGAAGGAAAGACGGTTATCGAGTGTCTGTCAAATACGAATAGAACGCATATAATGTCATTTCTAGTTTATTTCTGATAAATGCGTTGTTGGAATACAACTTGGAATTTTATTCCGAAAGTCTGATCAAGTCATATTTTAAAACGACACAATATCTGCAAAAATATTATAAATGCGTAAAGACTAGGTATAAATTAATTTAAAAATTTTTTAAATCACATTTATTTTAAAATTCTTTAAATGACAGAATATTATTTTAAATGCTTCAAAAAGCAATTTTTTGCGTAATGTCTTCTAAATATATTTTTCGCCAAGTTTTTGCAAAGTTCCTTTTTGTACGATGTGTCCATCAAATAAAAGAAACAAAAAGTTTAGTATAAGAGTTTTAACAAGGCTCTGTAATATAAATATAAATTACGTATAAGACGGGCAACAAGAGCCAAATCGCGGATGACAATGCGTTATCCTAACGAAACTAAATAATTTTTCGTTTAGAATTAAATACCGGTGCACAAGGCACCAAATTTTACTTGGACACGGCCAAGATTTTAAATATGAAATAATCTCATATTTGAGATTTAATTTCAATACCCCTTTTAACCCCCCACGGAAATTGACGTTTCAATAATTGTTATTGTTAATAAAAATTTACAATTAAAAAAAGATATCCTAAATCAGTCCATAATAAATTCAAAATCAATAATTGAGCAAGCTTCAAAGCTGGCTATATTTCGGACATTCTGTAGATGTACCAAATTGTGACAAATGTCCAACTAATGGACGTTCATCGAATGTCCGATAGACCTTATTTGGATTGATTAAGAATATCTCAATGTCTAACAACGAATATTCTCCAGACGTACATTAGACATTTTTGTGCTGTCAGAGTATAAATTTATTAATCTCCGCGAAATTGTTTTTTTCATAACTGAATGATAATTTATAACGCTTTTATTGATCATAACGTCTGTGTTCAAGAGGCTATATAATATATGTATCTCCAGAAGTCAGAGATATCGAAAAAAAACTTTTGGATGTTTAATAGTACTTATTATTGGAGATTGCTTAAAATTGTAAATGGAAAAAAGAGAAAACAGGCTTTAACAAAAGTAATCAATGAAGAAGACAGCTTTGCGGAGATTAATATACTCATACCCAGATGGCACAAGGATGTCTAATGTATGTCCAGTGTACTCTTTCTAAAAATATTCTAATAAATATTCCAAAAATTGATACAACAATGGATCTCATACAAACATTGGTACGTAGATATATATTCGATTAAATGCCTTGTGAATCCTGAGTCGATTAAACTTTCCAATAAACACAAGCACAATAGTTTTCGCTCTTTATTAGCAATTTATTTCTCAAATAAACAATGTTTTGCTATAACTAAAAAAAAAAGAGAAAAAGAGCAAAAACTGTAGTGTTTGTGTTTATAGAAAGAGTTTAATCGACTCAAAATTCACAGAGCATTTAATCAAATATATATTTAGAAGAAATAAATAATGTTTCTGCCGTTAAAGAGCTGTTTCACTAATTACAGTCAAGTTACTGTCGGTACAGCTCGACGTAATCGTTCGCTATTAGTTCCTCTATCTGCTCCCTACGGTACCGTTTGTACACGTAAAACAACGCCATAAACACCACGAAGAGGAGCATTATAATGCATAAGGCGACGCTTATCCAGACCGCTCCAACTTTCTCGGTCTCTATCTTCTGCGGTATCATGGCCGAGCAGTGGTCGAACAGCTCGTACGTCCGATTGCTGAATCTTACGTTGGCGCAGGTCTCGTTCAAAGCTGCCGGTGACTCGGTACATTTGTAGAGATCGTCTGTCTTTATCTTGATCTGCCGCAGCTTCACCCATGCGCTGAACTTCTGACAATCGCAGCTGCTCCCGTTGAATCTGATCCTATTACTGGTCAGGTCAAGGTCCTTCAGCGAGCAAAACGGCGCCAGATCCTCGGTGCTGATCGAGGTGATTACGTTCAGATTAAGGAGGGTCGGCTGGACGCCTATGTTCGGGATCACGGATAGCAAGTTCCCATTTAGCTACAGCACTCTGAGAGGCGATGTGACCTTTACCTTGAACACGGAATCGGGGAGCAGGTTACGGTCGAGGTAGAGCGAGTGAAGATACGGCAATTGGAAGATACTTTTGGGCAGTGTGTACATTAAGTTCTTCGTGAGATTCAGCACCTTCAAGTACGGCTGATTGGCGAAGGCTGCCTTGTTAATTTTATAGATGAAATTGTTACCTGGATTAATGTAGGTCAGTTTCTTGTAAGAATGCAGACTTTTATTCGTCAGTACCATCAAATGACTCCCGCTCATATCCAGCATCTAGCAAACAGAGGAGGAAAATCAGATGAGATTGAACGCATACAAGGTGGGCGATTTTAATCGAGTCACGCGAATATTGTTTGAACTATGCATTTTAGAATGCTTCGTACATAAGTTTTATAACTTGGAAGAGAATATAAGATAGTGTCATTAGTTTGACATTGGATAGTCGCTTGAATGTTACATGAAAGTCATTTTGAATTTCTTAAATAAGAGTAGCTAGAGAAATGTGCACTGAAAATAGGGGTTTCCAAAAAGAACTTTTTCTTTAAACGACTATCCAAGGTCAAATATATGATAAAATTTTATATAAAAAATTATATTTAATAGAAACTATTATTTAATAATAATATTTAAAGTTTTATTATACTGTTTTCAATTTATAAATTTTAATTTTCATATTTAAAAAAAAATAAAAAAATTTCGTGGATTTTTAGAACTCATTACGAATCTTTCTATTTTATGCATTGTAAATAAAATTAAAAAAATAATCATTGTATATGCAGTAAATATTCCTTTATAATAAATAAAAGATACATGACTATTGTTTTTATTACAATTTTAAGTAATATATTTTTAAACAACAATCTCATCTCTATGTCCGCCTTCAAATCAAACCAAATTTCGTGCAATTTTAAAATTGAGTAATATTTTTAATTCTTAAAACTTAATTTCATAATTATTATCAAAAAATAACACGGAATCTCACGAATTTTTAGAACACGTTATGGGTTCCTCCATTTTATGCGGATTGTATTAAAGAAGATTAAAAAAAAATCCTCGCGATATATGCAGAAAATATTTTTTTATAATGACAAAAACATACATGACAATTATTTTATTGCAATTTTAGGCAAAAAATATTTAAACGACAATCTCACCTGTATGTCCGCCTTCAAATCTATAGGAATTTTTTTTAATTTTTGATTGGAGCATTGAGCTTTCAGTACTGAATTAGCTCTGCTGTAGTTGCACATTGTCGGTGGCGATTTCTGGTCGACAATTTTCGTGGCTTTCGGTGAACCCAGCACCAGAACATCCGGTACCGTGGCCATGATGAAGCACAGTAAGAAGAATCCGTTAATGAGAAAAATGCTCATATCTGCAACAGAATCAGCGGAAACATACGCTTATAAACTTTGCCGCAACCGGATAATTAATCCTTCGCGAAGATGCAATATTTGATATTCTCTTTTTACACCGCCTCATTATCATTTATAATATTTTAGTATTACACAATATATCCCCATCTTTTTCTATTACTTTTAAATTATATATTTGTTATATAATATGTTATATATTATTTTATATTTCATATATATTTTATTATTTTATATTATCAAGAACAGCAAAAGTAAACGACCAGACTGACTACGATTCAAAAGTTATTGTTGACACATTCAACCGACTATTCTGGTCAAGTGTCTACACTTAATACATCTAAATTAAATACAAAAAATATGACAATTAGTACTAAAAATTGATAGTAAAAAATAAAGTATAAAAATATTACACATATAACGCGATCTAATTGATATGAATTTCCGTAACAATATAATAAATTATCGAACATTATAATTGTCTACCGGCATGCAAGATACAAAATAAACAAAAAGAAATGAAAAGGGAACGGAAATGATCGTGCGCGTATGATATATAAACAGTAGACACTATAGTAGTTATAAAAGCGAAATGATAAAAATGTGTCACATTATCTAGAGAAAATTGTCAACTTAAATATACCACAGAACTTTACTTTATTACACAGATACGTTAAAATTAAGTTGTGTAATGAGTTGAGAGACGATGTGTGTCAATCGAGAATTCAATACGTATTAAGTTTCCGTGTTGGTATTAAAACAATAACTGTGAACAAGAGAGGTATAGCTGTTTCGGAAAAACTGTATATGATATTAAGAATCAAATCGTATATTGAATTTTCAAATTGTCTGTGCCCTTCTGTAAATTCATGGAGTTTTTATGCATTATTATAAAAACCGTTTCCGCAATATCTCTTTTTATGTAATGCGTTTCTGTAGAATGGAGGGAGATTGCCAGTCAAAATCATAATGGAAAGTTATATATTATACATACAAAAATTAATACGCCAAACAAATTTACTCTTTATTAAATTTTCGAACGTTTCGACCATTTTTCATGGTCATTTTCAATGGAGGTACATTAAAAAGCGAGTTACATTTTGTCTATATAATATAAATTTATGATTGCAAACGCCAGTTGTATGAAAAAACTAAGTATTACCACTAACAATCGTAAGACACGGAGTAAACAATTTTAAAAAACTGTTGCAAAACAAATCGCTATTGCATCGATAAAAAGCACGCGACGACATTGAGTGATCGGCTTTCGAGAAGTTTATTTGACCGACATCAAAGAAATTAACGCCGACATTTCTTCGTACATATATCGCTGTCAAAGGTATATAATATTGAAAGTGATATAATATTCGTTTAAATACGCAAAGAGTTTATCGAAAAATCCGCACATTCACATAGATTTTTATATAAAAATATGGTAATCATTATATGTACGCAAACACAATATAATAACATTGATAAATTTTTTATAAGTTAACGCGTTTATATTTTATGTAAATATATTAATCTCCGCGGAAGAGTCTTCTACTCTCGTTAAAAGCTGCTTTCTCATTTTTTTTTTCATTAAAAGTTTAATGTAATTTCCAACAATAAGTACCGTTAACAGTCTAATTTATTTTATTCGACATTTCCGGTTTCTAGATGATAATTAATAACGCTTTTGTTGATCATGACGAAAACTGGTCAAAAGGCTATTTGCTGTTGCTGCTCCTAATGCCTTCTGCGCCGCCTACGGTACCGCTTGTACACGCAAAACAACGCCACAAAGACCACGATGAGGTACACCGAGATCCACGAGGCGACGTGTATCCAGACCGCTTCAACTTCCTCGGTCTCCATCTTCTGCGGTATCATGGCCGAGCACTCGTTGAACAGCTCGTACGTCCGATTGCTAAATCTCACTTTGGCGCACGCCTTGTGCAGTGCCGGTGAATCGGTGCATTTGTAGAGATCGGGCTTCATCTTGATTTGTCGTAGCTTTACCCAGGCGTTAAAGGCCTGGCAATCACAGCTACCCTCGTTGAATCTAATTCTATTTCCGGTCAGATCAAGCTCCTTCAGCGAGCAGAACGGCGCCAGATCCTCGGTACTGACCCAAGTGATGAAATTGTCGGACACGTTGAGATTAAGGAGAGTCGGCTGGACGCCTATGTTTGGGATCACGGTTAGGAAGTTCTTGGATAGCTGCAGCAGTCTGAGGGGCGAGGTCACCTTCATCTTGAACACGGAATCGGTTAGCCTGTTGTAGTCGAGGTAGAGCGTGCAAAGATACGGCAATTGGAAGAGACTTTTGGGGAGAGTGTAGCAAAGATTTCGCGACAGATCTAGCAACTGCAGGTAAGGCTGATTGGCGAAAGCTGCCTCTTCAATATTAATAATCCAATTGTTACGTAGATAGATGAAGATCAGCTCTTTGTAAGGATGCAGACTGCCGTTCTTCAGTTCGATCAAGTGGTTCTCAATAATATCCAGTACCTAGCAAACAGAGGAGGAACGTCAAGAATGTCATCAGAGATTAAACGTATATAGGGTGGGCGATTTTAATCGATCCACGCGAATATCCTTTAAGCGATGCATTTTAGAATACTTCATATAAAATTTTTTTATTTCGAGGGGAATATAAGATGGTGTCATTGGTTAGACTTTGCATAGTCACTTAAAGATCACATAAAGGTCATCTTCCATTTTTTAAATAAAAGTAGTTACAAATATATGCATTGAAAAATAGAAGTTTTCATTTAAGAAATTAAAGATAACTTTAAAGGATCATCGAAGGTCAATTATATGATATAAAATTTTATATGGAAACTTAAATTTAACATAAACTTTTATTGAATAATAATATTTAAAGATTTATGATATCGTTTTTAATTTGTAGTTCTTAATTTCCATATTTAAAGAAAAGTGAAACAAAGTATCGTGGATTTTTACAACTTGTTAATACAAATTCCTCTATTTCATGCGCAAGTTGCAGATAAGATAAAAAAAATCATTATATATGCAGTAAATATTCTTTTACGATGGAAAAAAAAACCTGACTATTTTTAATATCGATTTTAAATAAGATATATTTTTATACAACAGTCTCATCTTTATACCCGCCATCAAATCTAATTGGATTTCGTGCAATTTTAGATATAAGTAAATTTTATTATATTATATTTAATTCATAAATCTTAATTTTTTTAACTATTGTCAAAAAATGAGACGGAGTCTCACGGATTTTTAAAACACGCTATGAATTTTTTTATTTTATGCAAATTAGAGATAAGAAAAAGATTATAGCGATATATGCAAAAATATTTTTTTATAATAGCAAAAGCATACCTGACAATTTTTTATTGCAATTTTATGTAAAATATATTTTTATTCATATTTGAAAATCTTACCTGTATGTCTGCTTTCAAATCTAACGGAATTTTGTTCGATTTTAATTTGGAGCACCGCGCTTTCAATATAGAATTAGTTCTACTGTAAGTGCACATAGTCGGTGGCGGATTCTGGTCCATTATTTTCGCGGCTTTTGGTGAACCCAGCACCAGAACATCCGGTATTGTGGCCACGACGAAGCACAGTAAGAAGAATCCGTTAATGAGAAAGATGCTCATATCTGGAAAAGAATCAGCAGAAATGTATACTTATAAACTTTGTTCGAACTTTGCCGAAACCGGACAATTAATCGATCGCAAAAGTGCAATATTTGCGACTCCTTTTTACACCGCAACATTATCATTTATAGTATATTAATATCACGGAATATCTCTTCATCTCTCTCTATTACATTTTAAATTATATATTTGTTATATGATATGTTATTTATTATTCTATATTTTATATATATATTATTATTATATATTATCAAGGACAGCAAAAGTAGACGACCAGACTGGTTACAATTCAGATGTTTATTGTTGACACATTAGACCGACAATTTCGGTCAAGTGTCTACAATTAATATATCTATTAAATACACAATTAAATACACAAAATATGACACTTAATAATAAAAATTGATAGTAAAAAATAAAGTTTTAATACATGACTACGATATTACACATATATGCCGATAAACCTAGACGTGTGTGGTATAAACATTACAATCAATCTAATTAAAAATGATATGAATTTCCGTGACAATATAATAAAGTATCAAGCATTGAAACTGTATACCGGTATGCAAGATACAAATTAAACGAAAAGGAAGAAAAAGAGAGCGAAAATGGTTGTGCGCGTATGACAAAAATAAATAAAGAGTAGAACCTACAGTAGTTATAAAAGCGAAATGATAAAAATGTGTCACATTACCTAGAGAAAATTAGTCAACTTAAACACACCACAGAACTTTACTTTATTACACAGATACGTTGAAATTAAGTCGTGTGGTGAGTCGAGAAACGATATGTGTCGATCGAGAATTCAATACGTACTAAATTCTCTGTGTTGGTATCAAAACAGTAGCGGTGACCTAGAGAGGTATATTATTTCAGAAGAAGCGTATATGATATTAAGAATGGAATCGTATATTAAATTTAATTTGTCTGTGTCTTTTTTAAATTTATGGAAGCTTTATACATTTTTATAAAAATCATTTCCACAATATTTCTTCTTTTGTAATGCGTTTGTGTAGAATGGAGGAAGGTTGCCAATTTAATCACGCTTGAAAATTATATATTATACATACAGAAATCAGTGCGCAAAACAAATTTACTCTTTATTCAATTTTCGAACGTTTCGACCATTTTCTGTAATCATATTCAGTGTATAATAAAAAACGACTTAAATTCTTATTGATATAAATTTATGGTTGCAAACGCCAGTTGTACGAAAAAATTAAGTATCGCCGCTAACAATTGTAAGACACGGAGTCAATAATTTTAAAAAACTGTTGTAAAACAAATCGCTATTACATCGATAAAAAGCACGCGACGATATTGAGCGATCGGCTTTCGAGGAGTTTATTTGACCGATATCAAAGAATTTAACGCCGACATTTCTTCGTGCATATATCGCTGTCAAAAGTATATAATATTGAGAGTAATATAATATTCGTTTAAATACGCAAAGAATTTTTCTAAAATTCCGCACATTCACATAGATTTTTATATAAAATTATCGTAACCATTATGTACGCGAACACGATATAATAACATTTATAAATTTTTTATATATTAACGCGTTTATATTTGATGTAAATATATTAATCTCCCCGGAAGAGTCTTCTTCACCGATTATTTTCTTTAAAACCTGATTTCTCATTTTTTTTCTTTTTTTTTTATTCAAAGTCTAAAGTAATTTCCAACAATAAGTACCATTAACAGTCTAACTTATTTTATTCGACATTTCCGGTTTCTAGATGATAATTAATAACGCTTTTGTTGATCATGACGAAAACTGTTCAAAAGGTTATTAGCTGTTGCTGTTTCTAATGCCTTCTGCGCCGCTTACAGTACCGCTTGTACACGCAAAACAACGCCACAAGGACCACGATGAGGTACACCGAAATGCAGGAGGCGACGTGTATCCAGACAGATCGAGGCTTCTCGGTTTTTATCTTTTGTTGTATCATAGCCAAGCACTCGTTGAACAGCTCGTACGTCCGATTGCTGAATCTCACGTTGGCGCACGCCTTGTGCATTGCCGGTGAATCGGTGCATTTGTAGAGATCGGGCTTTATTTTGATTTGTCGTAGCTTTACCCAGGCGTTGAACGCCTGGCAATCACAGCTACCCTCGTTAAATCTGATTTTATTTCCGGTCATATCGAGTACCTTCAGCGAGCAGAACGGCGCTAGATTTTCGGTGCTGACCCAGGTGATGAAGTTGTCGGACACGTTGAGATTAAGGAGAGTCGGCTGGACGCCTATGTTCGGGATCACGTGTAGGGAGTTTTTGGATAGCTGCAGCAGTCTGAGAGGCGAGGTCACCTTCATCTTAAACACAATATCGGTAAGCCTGTTGTGGTCAAGGTAGAGCGTGCGAAGATACGGCAATTGGAAGAGACTTTTGGGCAGATTGAAGATATAGTTGAACGACAGATCCAGCATCTGCAGGTAAGGCTGATTGGCGAAAACTGTCTCTTCAATGTTAATAATCCAATTGTTACGTAAATAGATGAAGATCAGCTTTTTGTAAGGATGCAGACTGTCGTTCTTCAGTTCGATCAAGTGATTCCCGATAATATCCAGTACCTAGCAAACAGAGGAGGAACGTCAGGAGTGTCATCAGAGATTAAACGTATATAGGGTGGGCGATTTTAATCGATCCACGCGAATATCATTTGAGCAATGCATTTTAGAATGCTTCATACAAAATTTTTTATATTTTGAGGGAAATATAAGATGGTGTCTATGATTTGATTTTGCATAGTCACTTAAAGATCACATTAAGATCATCTTCCATTTCTTAAATGGAAGTAATTACAAATATATGCATTGAAAAATAGGAGTTTTTATTTAAGAAATTGAAGATAACCTTTAAAGGACCATCGAAGGTCAATTATATGATATAAAATTTTATATGGAAACTTAAATTTAACATAAACTTTTATTGAATAATAATATTTAAAGATTTATGATATTGTTTTTAATTTGTAATTATTAATTTTCCATATTTAAAGAAAAGTGAAACAAAGTTTCGTGGATTTTAAGAACTCGTTAATACAAATTTCTCTATTTCATGCGCGAGTTGTAGATAAGATAAAAAAAGTCATTATATATGCAGTAAATATTCTTTTATAATGGAAAAAAACACATGACTATTTTTAATATCAATTTTAAATAAAATATATGTCTTTCTATACAACAGTCTGATCTTTATGTCCGCCATCAAATCTAATTGGATTTCGTGCAATTTTAGATATAAATAAATTTTATTATATTATATTTAATTCGTAAATTTTAATTTTTTTAACTATTGTCAAAAAAGTAAAACGAAGTCTTACGGATTTTTAGAACACGCTATGAATTCCTGTATTTTATGCAAATTAGAGATAAGATAAAGAAAAGATTATAGCGATATATGCAAAAAATATTTTTTTATAATAGCAAAAGCATACCTGACAATTTTTTATTGCGATTTTATGTAAAATATATTTTTATTCATATTTGAAAATCTTACCTGTATGTCCGTCTTCAAATCTAACGGAATTTCGTTCGACTTTAATTTGGAGCACCGCGCTTTCAATATTGAATTAGTTTTACTGTAGGTGCACATAGTCGGTAGCGGATTCTGGTCCATTATTTTCGCGGCTTGCGGTGAACCCAGTACCAGAACATCCTGTACTGTGGCCACGACGAAGCACAGTAAGAAGAATCTATTCATGAGAAAGATGCTCATATCTGGAAAAATATCAGTAGAAATGTATGCTTATAAACTTTGCCGAAACCGGATAATTAATCGGTCGCAAAAGTGCAATATTTGCGATTCCCTTTTTACACCGCAACATTATCATTTATAGTATATTAATATCACGGAATATCTCTTCATCTCTCTCTATCACTTTTTAAATTATATATTTGTCATATAATATGTGCTATATTATTTTATATTTTATATATATTTTATTATTATACATATATTATCAAAGACACTGAAAGTAAACGACCAGACTAATTACAATTCAGATGTTTATTGTTAACACATTCGACCGACAATTTCGGTCAAGTGTCTACAATTAATATATCTAAATTAAATACACAAAATATGACACTTACTAATAAAAATTGATAGTAAAAAATAAAGTTTTAATACAGGACTACGATATTACACATATATGCCGATAAATCTAGACGTGTGTGGTATAAACATTACAATCAATCTAATTAAAAATGATATGAATTTCCGTGACAATATAATAAAGTATCAAGCATTGAAATTGTATACCGGTTAGCAAAATACAAATTAAACGAAAAAGAAGGACAAGAAAGCGAAAATGGTTGTGCGCGTATGACAAAAATAAATAAAGAGTAGGACCTACAGTAGTTATAAAAGCGAAATGATAAAAATGTGTCACATTACCTAGAGAAAATTAGTCAACTTAAACACAGAACTTTACTTTATTACACATGTACGTTGAAATTAAGTCGTGTGGTGAGTCGAGAGACGATGTGTATCGATCGAGAATTCAATACGTACTAAATTCTCAGTGTTGGTATCAAAACAGTAGCGATGACCTAGAGAGGTATAATATTTCAGAAGAAGCGTATATGATATTAAGAATCGAATCGTATATTAAATTTAAATTGTCTGTGTCTTTTTTTAAATTTATAGAAACTTTATACATTTTTATGAAAATTATTTCCACAATATCTCTTCTCTTGTAATGCGTTTTTTTAGAATAAAAGAAGGTTGCCAGTTTAATCACGCTTGAAAATTATATATTATACATACAGAAATCAGTGCGCAAAACAAATTTACTTTTCATTCAATTTTGAATGTTTCGACCATTTTTTGTGGTCATATTCAGTGTATAATAAAAAGCGACTTAAATTCTTATCGATATAAATTTATGGTTGCAAACTCTAGTTGTACAAAAAAATTAAGTCTTACCGCTAACAATCGTAAGACACGGAATCAATAATTTTAAAAATTTTTGCAAAATAGATCGCTATTATTCGATAAAAAGCACGCGACGACATTGATCGATTGGCTTTATTGAGAAGTTCATATGACCGGCATCGAAGAATTAACGCCGAAATTTTTTTCTACATATGTATATCGCCGCTAAGAGTATAGTATAATGATTGTTCAAGCACGCAGAGAGTTTCTGGAAAATTCCGCCACATTCACATAAATTCTTATATAAAAATATCATAATTATTTAATACGCAAACACAATATAATAGCATTCATAAATTTTTCTTATAAGTTATCGCGTTTATATCATATTAATCTTTGCGGAACTGTCTTCTTCATTGATTACTTTCGTTGAAGTATGAAGAATTGAACATTGTGCAATGTGTATTAATAATAATCAAATACAAACTTAGGCACGCAAATATATATCCGATTAAATTCTCTGTGAATTCTCAGTCAATTAAACTCTTTCAATAAACACAAACACTTCTTGTTCTTTTTTACTTATATATTGTATATTATGGCACTTTTTATATATTGGCACCAAACACAGGGTCGACCGTAATAAATTGTTAAACGGGTATTTAAGCGTCTATGCAAAAATATCATTAGAAACAGATTTTCCAGACCTTGTTTTCAGATGAATAACTTTTTTTCTATAATAAGAGATCCTAAGACATACCGCTATGCTAATAATTTTGAAATTAGATGTCAAAGAAGCCAAAATGGGCCTTTGTCCAAATATATGTGCGTATATATGTAAATATCTTGTTAAACGAAACTATTCCGGGCTCTGTTAATTAACAAATAAATTTTTTTCTGTCGTAAATAATTTAAGAGTATGCAACCTTACTCGGAAAATTCTATTCTCGCGCAAAATTCTACTCTCGCATATTGTCGACGCCAGAAACAGCTCTTTTAACAGGATTCTACGTTCTATCAGCGATTATTTCACTAATCATCGTCAGGTTGCTGTTGGAATAATTGTGTGTTGTCGTAGATCGCCATTAGCTGTTCCTTCTGCTTTATGTGCCGCCTACGGTATCGCTTGTGCACGAACAACGCTAGGAAAAGGAACACCAAGACGCACGGGGCGACGCTTATCCAGATCCAATCGAGGCTTCTCGGTCTCCATCTTCTGCTGTGTCATTGCCAAGCACTCGTTGAACAAGTTGTGCGTCCGATTGCTGAATCTCACGTTGGCGCAGTCCTCGTTCAGAGCTGCTGGTGGATCGGTGCATTTGTAGAGATCGGGCTTCATCTTGATTTGTCGTAGCTTCACCCAGGCGTTGAACGTCTGACAATCACAGCTGCTCGCGTTGAATCTGATTTTATTTCCGGTCAGATCAAGCTCTTTTAGCGAGCAGAAGGGCGCCAGATCCTCGGTGCTGATCGAGGTGATTATGTTGTAAGACACGTCGAGATGAAAGAGGGTCGGCTGGATGCCTATGTTCGGGATCACGGTGAGCAAATTCTTGCTCAGCTCCAGCAGTCTGAGGGGCGAAGTGACCTTCACTTTGAACGCCAAATCGATAAGTCTGTTGTTGCCGAGACAGAGCGTGCGAAGATGTGGCAATTGGAAGAGACTTTTGGGCAGTTTGAAGCAATAGTTGTGCGACAGATCCAGCACCTGCAAATAAGGCTGATTGGCGAAAGCTGCTTTTTCGATTATTTGAATGGTATTCTTATGTAAATAAATGAAGGCCAGTTTTTTGTAAGAATGCAGACTGTCGTTACTCAATACGTGTATTTGAGTCCAGGTAATATTCAGCACCTAACAAATAAAGGAGGAACATCAGGAGTATTATCAGAGATGATACGTATACAGAGTTGGCGATTTTAATATATCCACACGAATATCTTTTGAGCAATGCATTCTAGAATGCTTTATACACAAGTTTTTTTACTTTGAGAAGAAGATTCGAATAAATTTTATTATAATATTATTTATAACTTATAAATCATAATTTCATAATAATTGTAAAAAAAACAGTGCCTTACGGATTTTTAGAATTAGTTATGAATTTCTCTATTTTATGCGAATTGCAGATAAGATAAATAAAATTGTCACTCTATATGCGGTAAATATTGCTTTATAATGAAAAAAAATATATGACTGTTTTTTCTTACAATTTTGAGTAAAATATATTTAAAATAGAATCTTACCTGTATGTTCGGATTCAAATATAAAGGGATTTTGTACGCGTCCAATCTGAAGCATTGAGCTTCCAATATCGAATTAGATCTGATGTAGTGGCACGTATTCGGAAGCGGATCCTGATCCATTATTTCCGCGGATTCCGATGAATCCATGAAGACATCCGGTACTAAAGCTACGGCGAAGCCCAGTAAAAGAAACCCGTTGAAGAGAAAGATTCTCATATCTGCAACAGAATCAGCGCAAACGTACGCTTATAAACTTTGCCCAAATTTTTCTGCAATCAAGTAATTGATCGCTCGCGAAGGTACAATTTGGGATTCCCTCTTTATAACGCCACATTATCTTTTTTGGTATTTTAGTATCACGCAATATCTCTTCATCTTTCTTTATATATTACATCTTAAATTATATAATTTGTAATAAAATATATTATATATTATTTGATATTTTGATTTTTAAACTTCTTAAATAAATTTAATCTTAAATAATTTTTAGACTTCTTTTTATGCAAACTTTAAATTTGCAAATAACTGCAAATTAATACAAATGACAGCTGCTCAAGACATGAACTGAGCACATTGAAAGAACCAATCGGCATCACGAAAAAACGGCAACAATTAAAGCGTCACATGCCTTTTTTAAATAGGATGTGTCCATCAAGTAAAAAAACAAAAAGTTTATATATAGAAAAACTTACCTTTAAGCATTGCTCTGAAATTACCTCTGAAATTGCTTGCACGTGCAACTAAAATTCTCGACGTCTAGCTAATAGTTACGTTTTTCAAAGTTATTAAAATAATCTCGGTAAGCAAATCCTTTATCGTAACTATTATTTATGCGACAAAAATATATATAATAAACACAAATACAATATAAAAACAACTTGCAATTTGAGTTTTTCTTAATGACTCGATTGATTTTCTATGCACTAACACACGAGGCTTAGTGTATCGTGGACAGCCATAAACTGAGAATGACCAAATGCCTCATAAAGTGGTAGGGACAAAGGAAAAAGATAAAATAAATATTTCTTTTATCTTCTATTCCTGTTTTCACAACGATACTACTTCGGCCGTACCCTGGAAATTTTTGGTCTAGCTTTTTATTAGTGGGAAAAATTTATTTTCTTTTGTGTAATTTTCAGGTCTCGTTCAATTGTTTGCATTATATTATAGACTATGAATTATCTGCGTCATAAGCAATTTTTGCTTGCACCTAAGTTATTTCTATTACAACTTCATGAATTCTTTTTCCTTAATATTATTTTAGAATTGTATCTATTTCTGCAACAAAATCTAGTTATCTCTAAAATTTCTCAAAATTATCTTTTTATGTGTTTTTGATAATGTTCATAACCATAAAATTGCATACTAAAAATCATATTTGTTCTGTTCATAAAATTTGAAATGTACAATATATTAAGTACGACAGTTTCTCACAACAAAACATTTAATTGATATCATGAAATACAAGCAGCAATTATTTTCGAGACTTTACAGTAATGTTTTAATTTTTGTAAGTGAATACATAAGTTTGCGTGTGTAAATATTTAAAAATAATTTTATTATTATTAATGCATATTTTTTTAGAAATCCTATTTTAATGTTATATTTTGTTCTGTTGAGAGATATATATTTTCATCGATAAGAGAAAAAAACGTACCAAGTTGTGACTAATGTACATCTAATAGACATTCATCGAATGTCCGATAAGTGGTAGGGACAAAGAAAAAGATAAAATAAATATTTTTTTATCTTTTACTCGTGTTTCCGCAACGATACTTCTTTGGCCGTACTCTGGGATTTTTGGTCTAACTTCTTTATTAGTGGGAAAAATTCATTTTCTTTTGTGTAATTTTCAGGTCTCGTTCAATTGTTTGCATTATATTATAGACTATGAATTATCTGCGTCATAAAATAAAAGCAATTTTTGCTTGCACCTAAGTTATTTCTATTACAACTTTATGAATTCTTTTTCTTAATATTAATTTAGAATTGTTTCTATTTCTGCAACAAAATCTAGTTATCTCTAAAATTTTTCAAAATTATCTTTTTATGTGTTTTTGATAATGTTCATAACCATAATAATTGCATACTAAAAATTACATTTGTTCTGTTCATAAAATTTGAAATGTACAATATATTAAGTATGACAGTTTCTCACAGCAAAACATTTAATCGATATGAAATATAAGCAGCAATTATTTTCGAGACTTTAAAGTAATGTTTTAATTTTTGTAAATGAATACATAAGTTTGTGTGTGTAAATATTTAAAAATAATTTTATCATTATCAATGCATATTTTTTTTAAATTTTATTTTGTTTGATTTGTGTCATTTGTCAGAGATTGGACCGCTCTACATATATTTATTTTGTGTGTCATATTAAAAGAATTCTATATCTTTTACAATATAATAACGATATAGTAACGATAAAAAACATATACTCATGTATATATGTGTAATGTAAATGTTCCAAGCTATATAATATACACTTTAACGTATATTGTAGTCGGTTTTCCGATATATTAATTTAATATAACTAAATCACAGAGCCAAACATGCATAAATTAAATATTTTTCGCAGATTTTTGAAACCAGACAGATTGTTAGAATATTAATTGGAAACTATGTCTTTTGGTTTGAGACAAACAGTTCCTGATAATTTTGTTATTTTGGTTATTATAATAATAACCAAATGCTTTCGGAAAAAGGGGGGAAAATAAGAAAAAAGATGTAATATATATTTTTTTTATTAAAAATGTATTTTTATATTAGATGAAAGTTATTGATATATAAAAAGTTATTTTTAAATATTAATATATAATATTAAGTTTTAAAAATTAATAGTGTCTTATTAAATGGTTGTTCTTTCTGTACCAAAGTTTATTGTATAAAAGTAATATAAAAACTACATATTATTTTGTACTAACAATAAATGTTTTTTAAAACATATATAAATTGTATTTATCATAAAATAAAAAGTAAAACTTAACAAAATTTATTTAATCGTTATTTTTAATTAAAATTTACAATTAAAAAGATGTCCTAAATCAATCCATAGTTCATCCAAAGTTGGCTATATTTCGAACATCATTAAACGACGTTCATTGGATGTCCGATAAATTTTATTTGGATTGTTTAAAATATCCCAATGTTCAGGAACGAATTTTTACTAAACATACATTAGACATCTTTGTGTTATCTGGATTTAATATATCAATCTTCGCGGAACTCTCTTTCTTTTTACTGGATAATAATTAACAACGCTTATGTAGATCATAACGACTTTGTTCAAAAGGCTATACAATATATTGTATATACAGAAACTCGAGATATCGAAAATAATACGTTGGACTTTTAATGGTACTTATTGTTGGAGATTACTTAACTCTGAATGAAAAAAATGAGATAACAGACTTAAACAAAAGCAATCAATGAAGAAGACAGCTCCGCAAAGATTAATATACTTATATCCAGATAGAACAAGAATATCTAATGTATGTCCAGTGAACTCTTTCTAAAAATTTGTAAAATATTGTTCAAAAAATGGCAAATGCGCCAGAAGAAATATTCAAACTATTATAATAATCTTACGTTTATTGCACATTGTGCGATATGTATTAATAATAATCAGATACAAACTTAGGCACGCAAATATATATCCGATTAAATTCTCTGTAAATCCACTGTTGATTTAATTCTTTCAACAAACACCAACAGTTCTCGCTCTCTCTTTCTCTTATTTATAACAAAAACATCATTAATTTCTCAAATAACTTTTGACCAAAAATGATAGTTAAATCAACGTCGTATCGATGTCAAATCAAAATCGAATTGGTCGGATCGATATCGATTCGACGTCTTTTCGATCGATCATTTCTGATAAGGCCTCGCTTACACTTTCATCCCGTCCTTCTTGCGTAAAATTTTACTCTCGCATATTGTCGACGCCAAAAACAGCCCTTTTTACAGGACTCTATGTTCTATTAGCCATTATTTAACTAATTATTGTCAGATTGCTGTTGGAGCAGCTCGGTGTTCAGCTCGGTATTGTTGTAGATCATCGTTAGCTGCTCCTGCTGTTTCCTGCACTGTCTACGATTCCAATTGTGCACGCAAAACAACGTCACGAAGACGATGAAGAGGCATACCAAGACACACGAGGCGAAGATTAACCAAACCGATCGAGGTTTTTCGGGCTCCATCTTCTGCTGTATATCCTTTTCCATCTTCTGCTGTATGTCCTCCTCTATCATCTGCTGCATCATGGCCAAACACTCGTTAAACAGCTCGTACGTCCGATTGCTGAAACTCACGTTGGCGCAGGTCTTGTTTAGAGCCGATGAATAGGGGCATTTGTAAAGTTTGGGCTTCATCTTGATCTGACGCAGCTTCACCCAGGCGTTAAACGTCTGACAATCGCAGCTGCGCGCGTTGAATCTGATATCATTCCCGGTCAGATCGAGATCATTTAGCGAGCAGAACGGCGCCAGATCTTCGGTTCTGATTGAGGTGATGAAGTTATTGGACACGTTGAGATTAAGGAGGGTCGGCTGGAGTCCTATGTTCGGGATCACTCTTAGCTTGTTATCGGACAGCTGCAGTATTCTGAGAGGCGAGGTGACATTCACATTGAACATGCGATCGGTGAGCCAGTTTTCGCCGAGATAGAGCGTGTGAAGATACGGTAATTGGAAGAGACTTTTGGGCAGAATTCTGCAAAAACTGTTTGTGAGATCCAGCACTTGCAGGTAAAGCTGATTGGCAAAGGCTGCCTTTCTGATTATACTGATTATATTGTGACGTAGATAGATGAATTCCAGTTCCTTGTATAGATGCAAACTGTCGTTATTCAATGTGAACAGCAAACTCCCGGTAATATTCAGCACCTAGCAAACAAAGGAGGAATGTCGGAGGATTTTAATCGATCCACGCAGAATATCCTTTGAACAATGCATTTTAGAATGTTTCATACAAAAGTTTTTTTACTTTGAAGAGAATATAAGATTGGAGCAAATTTTATTATAATATTATTTATAACTTATAAATCATAATTTCATAATTATTGTAGAAAAAACAGTACCTCACAAATTTTTAGAACTAGTTATGAATTTCTCTATTTTATGCGGATTGCAGGTAAGATTTTACAAAATCCTCATAATATATATAAATGCAGAAAATATTCTTTTATAATGGTAAAAATATACATAACAATTATTTTATTGCAATTGTAAATAAAATATATTTAAACAATCTCACCTGTATGTCCGGATTCAAATCTAACATTGCGATTGTTTGCGATTTTAATTGGAAGCATCGCGCTTCCAATACCGAATTAGCTGTGATGTAGCGGCACGTATTCGGAAGCGGATTCTGATCCATTATTTCCGCGGATTTTGATGAATTCACGAAAACATCCGGTACTGGAGCTACGACGAAAACCAGTAAAAGAAATCCGTTGAAGAGAAAGATTCTCATATCTGCAACAAAATCAGCGCAAACGTACGCTTATAAACTTTGCCCAAATTTTTCTGCAACCGAATAATTAATCGCTCGCAAAGGTGCAATTATTGGGATTCTCTCTTTACACCGCTACATTATCATTTATGTTATTTGAGTATCACGCAATATCTCTCCATTTTTCTCTATTACATTTTAAATTATATATTTGTAATATAATACATTATTTGATATTTTATATATATTCTATTATTATGTATTATCAAGAACAGCGGAAGTAGATGATCAGTCTGGCTACAGTTCAAGTGTTTATTCTTGACACCGACATTTTCGATCAAGTGTCTGTAATTAATACATCTAACTTAAGGGGATGCCGGAGGTATGTTTTTATTGACCAAATGCGAATATTTAGTTTTTTTTTTAAATAACTTTTTATTGACTATACTGATGAATAAATCCTTTTCCACGATTAAAGTAAGTATAAAAACAGACCGCGTTAGCTATGATTGCATATATATAATCATATAAAAATAAAAAAATTACAGTTTTGTTATCGACTTCTTTGTGTCAGTTCGTAACAATACTTATTTAATAAAAAAAGTTCTGCAGTTTGTCTGTGCATGAAATATAGTATACCGCGGTAAGGATAATATGAAGAATTATTAGTAAACGATTAAAAGTGGAGATTGCAAGTCTAATAAAAAAGGTATATATTAAAAACGTTTTCACGCGTATGTATTGTATACGTGCATATGTTTAAATGTGTGTGGTGCTAACTTATCGGAGTTTGGCCGTCGCTCCTCCGGCATCCCCTTAAATACAAAAATAATGACAATCAAGAATATAAGAATTGATAGTAAAGAATAAGTCTAATACATGACTAAAATATTACACATATATCGCGTAAATCTAGGCTGTGTGATATAAACATTACAATCAATCCAATTAAAAATGA